GCAAAAATGTAAGTGGACAAGCTACTAGTTTAGAAAAAAACTGTGAAAATTTAAAGGAAGAATTGAAAAAAAAAAAGTTTTCCAGATGTTCTGTTGGATGAGTTGGGTTGGTGTTCCAAAGTTGAAGTGAAATTTCAAGTGAAAAATGTTTGACATCAATGTTTAAATCAAAATGTACTGTTTGCAGCATTGGATCAAGTCAACAAAGAATTAGACAGACTTGAAAAAACAGGTGTAATTGAAAAGATTGACCATTCAAAATGGGCAACACTAACAGTCTATATAAAGAACTGTTGCAGATTTTTTGACAGAGTTAAACAAATGTTTAGAACCCCATAACTACTCATTACCAAGTCCAGAGGAAATTTTTGTGAATTTAACCAACGGAAAACATTTTTCAAAGCTGAATCTTTCTGAAGTGTATTTGCAAATGCAGGTTGAAGAAGAATGTTTAGAGTTAATAACTATAAATATGCACAAGGGAATGTATAAGTTCAACTGACTTCCTTTTAGGATAAAGGCGGTTCCAGCTATATTTCAATAAACTATGGATACTATACTTGCAGATTGTGATTGCACAGTTGCTTATCTGGATGATATATAAATTAAAAGTGTATCTAAGTAACAATATATCAGGCATGTGAAAAAGAACTTTTGAAAAAATATGAGACTATGGATTCAAACTCAGTGAAGAAAAGTGTTTTTGCCTAAAATCAAGTACCTAGGACAAATGATTAACAAAAATGATCAACCTGATCTGTCAAGGGCAAGTATAGTTAAGAATATGCCTCCTCCGATGAATGTTACTAGGTTACAAGCATTTCTAGGACTAGCAAACTATTATCAGTTCTATATACCTAATATGGAAAATTTGAGAGCTCCATTGAAGAATTTGTTTAAGAAAGGTGTAAAGTGGAACAGGACTGATAAGTGTCAGAAGAAATAAAGACAATACTAATGTCAGACTTATCATTAGTGCACTATGATTGAAAAGCAGAAATCCCATTGGCTTCAGATGGTAGTGACTACAGTATAGGATCAGTAATATGATGACAGTAACATGAAAGTCATCACACATTTCACATTTGCTACTACCAACAGAAAAAAACTACAGCCAGATCAAAAAAGAGGCATTAGCAACAATATTTGCAACGAAGAAATTTCACAAATTTATACACAGAAGGAGTTTTTGTTTACAGACGACCATCCTTTGTTATCAAATTATGGTCCAAAAAAAAGGAATTCCTACACATACAGTCAATAGATTACAATGCTGGGGTACCATCTTATTAAACTACGATTTCTGGATGGAATATTAACAGTCCAAAACATTAGGACATGCTGATGATTTATCAAGATTGATAACAAAAAATACTGAACCGTTTGAAGACATTGTTATTGCAGCATTAAAACACGAAATAGAAATTAAAAATATTTAATGCAATGTTAGTACTCGAACTACCAGTTACCCTGAAAGAAATAAAAGTAAAAGCAGAACAAGATATGTTTATTTCAAAAATAAAACTGACTAAAAAAAAGAGTAAGAAATATAGATGATTTTTAGGATGCTAATCCAGACTTGAACACTTACTCACTCTATATGATGGAGTACTGATATTTGCAAAAAGAGTAGTAATACCTATCATATTACAAAAGTGGATATTAAATGAATTATATGGTGGACATCTGGGAATATCAAGGATGAAATCTCTTATGATAAGCTATGTATACTGGACCAAAATGCATCAAAATATTGAAAAATTAATAAAAGCCTGCCAAGGTTGTGCTCTAGCAGCAAAATCATCTAACATGAAATTACAACCTTGGCCAAAGACAGATTTTCCATGGTCAAGACTGTATACAGATTTTGCAGGTTCAATAAACAGATCACATTATCTTGTAGTGGATAGCCTTACTAAGTGGCCTGAAATTTATTAAATCAACTTCCACAGTTACAGTGAATTTTTTACATGAACTGTTTTCAAGATATGGCATTCCAGATGCCCATAGTCTTGGATAAAAGTACACAATTCACTGCTTACGAATTTAAAGAATTTTGTAAAATGTTCTTGATTAAACATATTACTACTCTGCCATATCATGCAAGGTCAAACAAACAAGCTAAACAGTTTATGGGTACTTTTATGATAGCTTTGAAAAAAGCAAGTAATGAAAAAGTCAGAGAAGAAGCACTACAAAAATTCTTGAGTTGTATACTGTATAACCCTAAATACCAATACACTATCAAGTATGTCACTAGCAGAATTGATGGTCACAAGAAAAATTAAATTGGTGTTTGACAAGTTGTTACTAGGTAAAAAAAAGAATAAGAATGGATAACGAAAAAGACAAAATTTTTCAAAATGGACAAGTGTTTTTCAGATTATATAAAAATGGAAAAGAAATGTGGGAAGATGGCTTAATAAAGTCATGAATTGGGAAAAAAAAGATATAGATGGTAAAAGGTTTACTGAAGAAATGTCTGCAAGAAAGGAAGAGAATCTATGCAAGTACTGTATGATATTTTTGACGTACCAACACCCCCAAGAATTGAATGTACAAGTATGATAACCAGAAAAAGGTAATATATGGAAGAACTAGAAATAAAATGAAAGAAATACAATATTCATTATGTTGGGAAACTTGCCAGAAAGAGGAGGAGGTGAATACTAAGAAATAAAATAAAATATTTACTAGTGAAAAAATCAAAAAAATCTCAAAAGTGGGGTGGGGTGGTGTTGTGGAGTAAATAAGATACCCCCAGTAACACAAATGAAAACACATACTTGATGAACTATAAAATATGTTTACAACACAATCAATTTGACACTAAATGACCAACAAGTGGTTGAGGAGCCATTAAACAAAATCAATCAGTCAATTAAAGCTCCCAAGAAAATTAAATTTCAGAATTAAATCACCCATAAGGAGTTGATATGCCATTAATCAAATTAAATCATTGAGAAAGAATTTGTGTCCGCTTTTAACATCAGAATTTCTTTTAGGATTAATTATGGTTTACACTTTGTCATGAAAACATTGGTTGATGTGTAGATTCACATTTTATTTCATTTCTGCTATGATTTTGTCATTTTATAAGGAAATTAATTTCTATTTGTGTGTGTGTGTGTGTGCTTTCATTTTTATCTGTTTTCTTTTATTATGTTTATTATTTGATTCCATTAAGGTGTTTGTCGATATAAACCCTTTGCTACAAGTTTCATAGTCTTTAGACATTTCTCCATTGAAAAGATCTGAAATATTTTTCCTTTTCAACTTCTGTTCTAATCTGTAGTGTTCATTTTTATGCTATTACACTTGGAACAGACATGACTCCATCTCTTCACTCCCCAGCTATGGGTTAAGTAATATGATTAATAATAATAAATTTAAATTAATTAAAATAAATAAGTTAAATAATACAATTAATAATAATAAAACTGGGCTCTCTAGCCGTGGATGGCAGCCATTCTAGAAGAAAAACTCTGAATTTCAAACTGTAGAAAAGTTAACAGAAGGTAAATCCACTATCTTTCCCAAGAAGGAACAGCAATTTACAGATTATAAATAATGCTGAATGCTGTCATTTAAGAAAAATATTCCCAAAATGGATATAATATTTAATGAAAGCCTTATGCTCTATAAAGGAAGGTTTGGATAGATTTAATATATTCTGATGTAGCATTTAACAATTTAGAATAAAATGTTCTGCGCTTTGTGATCTTAGTACTTGTTATGTATGGTCTTTTATTATGACTTTGGAAAATAGACCAATTTGACACAGATTTGCTTACATGCAAAATGTAGTCTCATATGATGTCCATAGGATTATTTATGATTTGCATTTTATGAAAACATTGGTTGATATGTATATACACATTTTTATTAATTATCTACTCTGCTTTTGTCACTTTTCCAGGAAATTAATTTCCTTTTTGTGTTTTTTTGTTTTTGTTTGTTTTTTCATCAATTTTTTTCTTTTATTTATTACTTGATCCCATTAAAATATTTGTTGATATAAAACCTTTGCTACAAGTTTCATTGTCTTTCCATTGAAAAAGACTGAAATATTTTTCCTTTCCAACTTCTAATCTGTAGTGTTCACTTTCATTCTATTACACTTAGGGCTTGGGAAAGGCATGGCTCCATCTCTTCACCCTCCAGCTATAGGTTAAATAATAGGATAGACTGAGCTCTCTAGATTTTTGTGGCAACCATTCTATGACAATGGAAACTCTGAATTTCAAACTATAGAGAAGGTAATGGGAAGAATTTCCAATCTCTTTCCAAGATCTAGCAATTGATTCAATATAATCTTTCCACTTCATGTTATTAGAAAATGTTAGCCTGAGAAGACACAATGATTCCTTCTGTTGGAAGTTAGCATCAGCCATGCTGATAGAAGACAAAAAGGATTTTCTAAGATGCTCACAAGAGAGAAATTTCATTTTGTGTAAGTTAAAATTAACAAGCTATTTCTTGCCCCAGTTAACAACAGATTGTTGGTCATTTTTTTTAGATCAACTGCCAGTTTGATCTTACTGAACCAGTCAGACTTACCATTAAGACAAGAGTAAATAATTGTGTCATCCTCATAGATACTGGGTTGAGAATTGATGACACTGGGGAAAGTCATTGATGAAAATTAGAGATAATTAGGTCCAAAGATATAGTTGTTGTTAAAGTTAAATAAGTATTTTGGATTATAGTTAATTTCATTTAAAATTAAAAAAAAAAAAAATGAAAATGAAATTTAAGCGTCTTGTTGATAAAAACTTTAGCAATAATTTGCCATAAAGAGGATAACAATCTGAAAAAATCCTTAGGCGATTCATTTTCTTATTTGACTATTAATTCACAATAGGTATTTGAATTATTTTGTAGAAGCCTAATATGCATGACTTCACAAATCACTTCTATTCCTTAAAGCCATTAGTTCTTTGTAAACTGATGTGTGGCAGTACTCCTTAATGGGTGTATCCTTATTTTCTGAATTGCAGGAGGTGGGCTGATTGTGAAGATTTTGAGGAGACATGCTGATTTTGAAATTAAGGACATCTCATTGGGTCCTCCAGCTTCACAGAATACCAAACTGAACATCCCCAAAAAAACCAAGCTGTTTGTGAGTCAGTCAGTTAGAGAAAGGGAGAATCCTGTTGGTAAGTAATTTTGGTTACAAAATATGAGCTTTTTTTAAAAAATTTTTTATTCATTTCATTAGTCACTTATGTAATAGGGATTACACAAATGAATATTCACATTGCTCTTTATTTTATCTTTATTGCTATAGGGATGTGTGGGTGGTGTAATGGATTAGTTTTAGTTTTTCCTTCCGCTTGTGCTGTTAGGAGTTGCAGGGAGACACTCATCTGTCAGCGGCAAGGTGAGTGGCCTGGAGGAGAGATATCTTGTAGGCTCTTGAGAGTGTCCATCACCGATTCACTCCAGTGCTGTCTTGGTCTGCCTCTTGCTCTCCAGCCAGAGTACCTGAGGGTGTATGCTCATAGGACTGGTTGGTTGATAGGCATACAAGTGAGGTGTTCGAACCACTTGATCTTCTGTTGTTCGATGTGTTGTATCATTGGTATTGCTCCTACCATATCTCTTATTGCCTCATTGCTGATCTTGTCTTGCCTGGTCTTGTTCGCTGCTTTCCTCAGGCATTTCATCTCACAAGTGTTCAGTTTCCTCTCAAGGGTTTTTTTAGGGGCCATGTCTGATACTAGTGTGTCAGTGTTGCTAGGAAAATGGCTGTGACTGGCTTAGTGGATGAAAAAAGCCATGAAAATGGTTGTGACTGGCTTAGTGGATGAAAAAAGCCATGAAAATGGCTGTAACTGGCTTAGTGGATGAAAAAAGCCATGAAAATGGTTGTGACTGATAGTGGATGAAAATTGCTCAAGAAAATAAAAAGGTGTAATGGATATCGGCTTGAAATGAGTAATCGGAGAGTTTGAATTCCAGTCAGGTTCATTACATTCATTTATGTGCAAATACACTTGGGAAAGATATGAAACCCTCTTTTCCCCCAACTATTGGGTAAATGATAGGGTTTGTATCTGAAAAGATCATTGTTATTCTAAATAAAAAATTTTGATGCAATATTCGCTTGCAAAAAAAAAAAAAAAAAAAAAAAAAATTATTCTTAAAATCCAAAGTATTTTTCAGCTTTAAATAACCAACAAATGTTTACAAGCCATAAAAAACAAATCAATCAATAATACTATCCCAGAGAAAATTAATTTGGAACATCTGCTAAGTGCATAAATTTAAAGCATGTTCTCTGGTTTCAATTTATAACATATGTTCTGTACTATAGTTTAGATTTTAGGAGTCATTTACAATACCCGGCGGTTAATCCTCTTGCTATGAATTAAATAATAGGACATGTATCTGGATAAATCCTAGTTATTCTTAAAAAATTGTTAATGCAATATTCACTAACAAAAAAGTATTATTTTTAAAAACCAAAATATGTTTCAGCTTTAAAAACACATAAAATCATGCTAAGCTGAAAAAAAAGTAATCAACCATATGTCTACATAGAGCTACCTGTCATTCCATCTGGACAGTTTCAAGAAACTGGTTTTCTTTGAGTCACTGTGGTTGATGGCTAGTGCCATCAGTGCTTTTATTTCTAAAGTTCAGCCAGTACAAAGCTCAAGATCCACTCAAGGTAGAGGATTATAGAATGAGGCACATGTGAATGTAAGAAGAGAAGATTATAAGGATATGGTAGATAGATTAATAATTGAGCCTTGAATTAAAGAAGTTTAAGTTGTATTGTTCAGGGAGGTATTGTCTTGAGTGTTTGTTCCACTGAGTAATGGTTCTTGAAAAGAAGCTGTCCAAGTATCACTTTTTTCTTCTAAGTAAAATACAAAGGGAATGACGGTGATTCAACCCTGTAGACATAGAACAGCAGGTTTTAGCTGTAAAGGTCAGAATTGGTAGGACAAAAGAATGGAGCTCATTTTAATATTTGCTATGGAAATACCAGTAGACTATTGACAGGATGGTGACATTGCATCTATGAGGAAAGGTGCTGCAAGGTGGGAAATAAATCATTCTCCTAAAAGGCTGTGTAAGCGATCATGAATATTTTTATTTCCTGTGTCAGATTGGAGTTATATCCAAATCACGTTGAAGCACCAGTTCCTGCCTGATTACAGAAATTAAATAATGGTTAGTATCTAGATGGGTGATTGCTTTGGGTTACTCAGTGCTTTACTCTTGGATATGTGTATGTGTGTGTATAGCTGGCCACTCATATTTGAGAATATCTGTCTACTAGGACGGCTAGCCAATCCCTATTGCAGACACTTGCTCAGGCATTATTTGTATTTGCTCAACATCCAAAGAGCCCACCTGTGGTTTATACTGCAACTATGCTGAAAAGACCTTAGTTACAGTTTCTGCAAAAGAGCGTGTTCTCTAGCATGATCAACAATTTGAACAAGGCCAGCACGCTCAAGCTCTCAGCCACAATGACTTGTGACTTGCATGATTATCGACAGCACCCAAGGGTTCCGTCTACCCAATTTCACTCACAAGGTATGGTTTTCAAGCACTTTCCAAATGTGCCACACACTGGGATCGACTCCCTCCAATCTGATAACATTAGAAACTTTCCTTCCCAACAAATTGACTATGGTGAGATTTGAACCTGGGTCTCATTGTCAGAATGCTTTGTTCTAACCACTCAGCCATGTGCCCATACTCTTGGAGGTACAGGGCATGTGATAGATAAGAGCTCAGACTGAAAAATCAGAAAGCTAAGTTCAAATTCCAGTCAAATTTGTTATGCTTGGTCTACTGCAGAAAGTAACGGCAGCTTACTGCAGGAATTTTTCTGCCAAGTCTGTTGTGGCTGGACATTTATTTGACTGACAGACATTTGGCTAAACAGACATTTCACCAAAAAGTACAAGTAAAAATACTGACAAGTAATACTTTAAGTATTTTAATTAGCAGTATAAGATAGAATAGGAATTACCACTGAATTTAAGTGATTAAATTACTTAATCTAAATTTAAAGTTAAGTTTTCTTATTTCAATATTTGTTTATTGAAATTAGTATTTTTAAAAATATTTGAGTGTATTTGGGTAAAAAGTAGCACCTGATTATTTAAATTCATATTTAACAATAAGATAAAAGCTAGTTCATCCCTTTAAGATAATGATCATTAAAAGTGAAATTGAAAGATCTTTCATACTGTAAGAACTTAAGATTTTTGCTGCAGTAAAATGTGATTTTTCTCAAAATACTTATCTTACAGTAGTATTTCAAGTAAATATAATATATAAATAAATTTAAAAAAAGCCTGTAAAAAAAAAAAAAAAAAAAAATGAAAAATTATAAATTAATACATTAAATAAATATATGTAGCAAATTACAATAAAGAATGTGATATACATGTAATTACAGCACTACATTTTCGGCTAAATGTCTGTCTGCTAAATGTCCTCCAAGTACCCAAGTCAGTCATAAATCAAAGAGAGATATGATCAACCAAGCATATAGGATAGGATAAAATAGACAGATAAGCGGCTGACATTGATGTCCTCTCATGGTAGCATAAATATATTCTGCTTCACTCTGATGATACCTTTTTGTGTCTTGCTTCTTAAAATTATTTTAATTAACAAAGTGTTGTTGTTCCTGACAATTTTCTCAGCTTAACGTTTTTTTCTTTCCAGCAATGTTTCGGACTTTCCAACGGGACTTAAGTTTATTCCGGCTGAACACCGCACGACAATTTGCCCAGATCCTTGAAAACAATAGCAGTCCAATATCGTCAGATCCCAAGGAACCGTTAAAAATTTCTGCACTGGTAAGTTTTCTTTGAATAGTGTTGTTATTCAGGATTATATAGCTCTGTATTAAATGCACAAATATATAACTACCATATATACACAATTTTTTTTTTCTTCATATTCCCAGATGAAATGGTGTTAAGATAGGTACCTCCACGAGATCGCTAAAAAAAGAGCATAGCATGATGAAAAAGACACCAAACTTGACGTAAACAAAATTTTATCGTCTAAATGTTTGTTATTATTAAGAGGAAAGGTCAAAGTATTTTTGGGGTATTTTTTCCCATTTTTAATCGTTCCTAGCACGTCCGAAATTTTCGTTAAAATCTAGTTTTTTTTTGAGTCAGCAAAATTGACCATTTTTTTTCCATTTTAAAAAAAACTGGAAATCTGACTTTGAAATTTTTTAAATATCAATTATCATTTTTCAAAACTTATTTTAAGAAAATCAGAAATTATAATGTTTATTTAAAATATTTTGAACCAAACTTAACTTAGCTTTTGTGCCAAAAAGATGTAATTTGAAAATAAAACAAAAGCAGGTCATAAACTTTCGCATCTCTTGACATGTGATGAATGATATATTTACAAATTCCATGAGGCTAATTTGTTCTACGGAAGGAGAAAAGTGAAATAATTTACATTCATTGAACAAATTATTTACCCTGTTATTTTTAACGAAAACTTTCAGCGGTCTAATATTTTTTTTTTTTTTGTACTTAGCTTTCACCTTTACGTTTATGATGCTTTATGGGAAATATATTGTAAAGAAATTAAAATAAAACTGTTAAGAGTGACATTAAATTTCATATTTCTTAAGAAAGGTATCTAATTAATTTATAGGTAACTTTCTTATGAAATTTTATCAGAATTGTTCATAAAATACTATAATTTTATGTACATTTATTACATTCTACTGTTATTTGTATTTGCATTCATTTTATTATTAATTTTGATATTTCATTTATGGAAAAATGTCATAACTGAGATTAATATAAAAATAAGATCATATAAATTTCATAAGATGATACTGATACTTGTAGGTACCCTTCTCAGTTGAAATTGAAAAATCAAATTAACTTCTCCACACGTGTTTTGCAAAAGTAAAAAGGCCTTAACAGCGGAGAACAATGCTTAACTCAAATAACGCAACTTAATTATATTCTGGTTGGTCTTCCGTATTTTATAATTACAGCTTGATTATAAGCACAAAATTACATTTCTTAATTTGGGGATCTTCTGATTAGTCAAAATGATACAATTTACAATGCGCTAAAAAAAAGATCTATCTCATAAGGACACTTATGAAAGCCGATCTGACTTTTAACTAATTTTATAATATTTTAACAACTTAAATGTAAAATCTATTATAATTAATGAAATAACAAATAATTGTATTAAAATTCATTTTCATCAAAAAATTTTTTGCTTTCAGAAAATATTGTCCATATTCATAAAAACAACTAAAAGCAAATAAAAGCATTTGAAATTAAATAATATCTTTGTTTTATTGAGTTTTGTTTTGTTACAATTCAGAGCTGATTTTCAGGTACTGCGTATTCAATTAAAAAAAAAAAAAACATGATTTGCATTCCTCAAAGCCCTGTGCTTTTAATTATTGTAATCACTAAAACCGATGCGATCGAATTTCTAGCGTTTTTCATAAAATTAGTTATGGGGGGTAATAAATATTTTTAAAAATATTTCTACCATGACTTTCATAAAAAAACATATTTATAATAATTTCAATCATCTGTGAATAGTTCCTGAAAGTTTCATTAACATCTGATAATTATTTCTATTTTTGCATGATTTTTTCAAATTAATGTGTGTCATACCAAAAAAACTGCTAAAATTGTCTATGTTATTTACTAGTTCCGCTGATACAAATAGAAAAAAAAGGCTTTTTTAATCAAAATTTAGAATATTCTAAAAAGAAGGAAAATTTTTTAAAAATAAAAAAAAAAACTTTGGTCTTTCCTCTTAATAATAGCATAAGCATTTAGACAATAAAATTTAGTTTTCGGCAAGGTTGGCGTCTTTTTCATCAAGCTATGCTCTTTTTTTAGTGATTTCGTGGAGGTACCTATGTTAAGAATTTATCCCAGTTGTGAGTGTGTTTGTATTCAGAGTGAGAGTGGAATGAGCAAAAAACATAAAGCTTGAAATATCAGTTCAACAGCTTTTATTTCGGGCTGAAAGAGAATGCAAAGTAGTATTTTGCTGGGAAAATTTGGGGGATTTTCCAGTTAACAAAGTTCTTGAGTAGTTTTTGTTGAGAGAGATTTCTCTACTAGTTCTCATGGGGGAACAAGAAATTTGAGTGTGAAACTGCTAGCACAGGGCTCGTCTTTAGCAGCAAGGGTAGTTGTGTGTAGTTTTCCTTTAGTAGGTGTCTTGAAAGGAGATTTCTCCACTGGTTCCCACAGGAGGAAAAAGAAATCTGACATCAAGCTGCCAGGACAGGCCTTGTCTTCTGCAGCAAGGATTGTGTGTAAACCTTTCTAGCTGGGCTTGAAGGTAGAGACTGCTGAAAGTGAAAAATGAAAAAGATCTGGCTGTAAATGTAGAGGCCACTAAAGCGGAAAAGTGAGAAAGAGGCTGAATACAGATTGGTTAGTGTTTTTGTGACCTCTGGGATTTCTGGTTGTACCCTGCTAATTATTTCCATTGCTGCTGCTGCTGCTGAATCAAGCAAAAGTAAGGAAGCCCTCACATACCACAATATCCAAGAATAGATTAGACTTTAGTTGCATGTGAAAAAAGAAAAAAAAAGATTTTAGATGCCAATTCTAAGACAATCTGGCCCTCCATTAGAAAGTATGGTACAATAAAATTTTTCTATGTCTGTTTCCTCTCTCTGGGCTTTTTTGCCATACTAAGCTTTTCTTACTGAATATCACTAATTAACTCATTTTGAGTGTCAAGAAACACAATAAAAAAATTATTGTTACTTCAAATACTGACTGTAGCAGTAGTTAAAGTTGTTTCTTATGTGTCCATAGCAACACATTCAGTCATCAGCATTTACAGCTATGTTACAACCGTGAACTGTCTTTTGAGGATTTAACTCAAACTTCTGGATGTCTTAAAAATTTGTTTTTACTGCAATTTTTTTTCTTTCTTTATTGCTGCTGTTGTTTCTAATTGCCTGCCAAGCACTGCTCTCTATCAGAATTCAAAATGACAAAGGCCTTTTGCCCAATCCCAAGAAGAGGAGTGTGAGAATCAGTTAATCTGTTTTATTACACTGTTTTTTTGTTTTTTTTCATAATTTTTTATTTTGATGAGGTATGTTTATTGCAGCTGACGCTTTGCAGATTTCTTCCCAGTATCTCAAGTTAGCCATTATGGCGTGTTTTCTCACTGAAATGGACGACTTTTTCCTTTTTATTTATTTACTTTTGTTTTTTGCTTCTCTAACCTGTCAAGCTCACTTTGCAGAAAGAGTTCTCATCAGATGTAATGAAAGAGAATTCTTCAAGAGTTACATAATGGCTCCAAGATGAATTCCTTTCGGCTTACCCCTTCACTTGATTTCTATCATACTGATTATCATCTCTTAAAAATGGGTGGGATTGTTGAGATACTGTGCTAAAGGGTTTGCTTAGTTTGGTTATTCTGCTAAAGTCCATGAAAAATTAGTATCTTAGCTATGATATTATTATTATTATTATTTTTTTTTTTTTTTTTTTTCAGTTTTACTGTATCTTATTATTGATGAATTTTAAAGGCAATATTTTCACTATTATAACTTTTCTAGTGGCATTTAAGCTAGCTCCTACAGAGGGCTCCTGATCGAGTTTTTATCACAACAAGTAGGGAGGAGTAGATGTGATAGGCAACAATAAACAATAAAAGAACTCAAAATTGATCGATGCATTTAGTATTGCATTAATAATTAAGCTTACCTTTTAAAAGTTCAATGCATAATATTTAAGCTTACCTTTTTAAAATTTCAAGACAATTTGATGTATGTAGGTCCTTACTTCTCGTACAAACAATTTTTATTTCATGGGTGATTTTTGCAATTAATTTATTTTTCTAAATTTATTTCCAAGTTATAAAACTGTTATTATGTAAAAAAATTTGTCACAAAAAAATCATGTTAAAAAATTGCCGAAAATAATCGCAGTAATAAAAGTTGAGAATCCAATAATTTCAGGATTGCAGGTCCAGATCTGGCACAGAATGTTTTTAATTTGCTCACGGATTCGGCCTGATTCCAAAAAATTTTGGGCTATGGCCTCTCGGAGTAAAGTTGAAAAAGTTTGACACAATGACACACTGACATTTGCATTTATTATATAGATTACTAACTTTTTTTTTTTATCTATATTATTACTAGTTTTACTCCATCTAAGTAGTGTTGTGTTTTAGATGAAGTATTTTCACTATTATTATTTTTTGCTAAGCCTGCTGCTGAGAAAGGTAGTTCACTGTGTCATGTGAGACATTTTTTTCTCTCCTGAATGTATCTTACAACCATGCTTTGAATATTGCTGTACACATATGGTCCAGTTCTTTTGCTATATATTTAGAGATTCTTGATAAAATCCAAAGAATAATTAGTAATATAATTGGTCCTGACATGGCATCGCGGCTTCTCTCAATTTCCCACTGCTCTAATGTTGCCTATTTATGTCTTTTCTTAGAAATACTTTAATGGTAATTGTTCAGATGATCTCTTTGCTATGACCTTTTTTATTTCTGTCTCCATTTTTTCTTTGGTTTCATTCCCCATCCCCTCCCTCATTAGGTGGTCAGTGATGTCAGTTCTCTGGTGGATGCGGGGCGCCTTTCGTTTTGGGCGTGTTTTTTTCATATTTGTTTTTGTGTCTGAATGAGTGTGTTTGTGTGAGTGCTTGGGATGAATGAGTTTTTTATATTATTATAGTCCAGTATTGATTTTATCCAGTTAACTGATGTTTCTGCCACATTTAATGATTGTGGTTTTTTTTTTATTTGTAACATTATTTTGTTTAGTTTCTAGTAAATAGATTTGTACTCATATTGTTAATACTCATTGGGGCTAGTTTTAAATTGTTGTTTTATTCCCCTCCCCCAACAGACAATGACTTGTACATATGGGACTAGTTAAGATTTTCATAGAGACAATGGGTTATTATGGTGCATCTAGTAAGAAAGGTAAGTAAGAATGCGTTGTTTTGGTGTTAGGGATATTGCAGTATGTTTGGGTCAGTATTTGTGGCTAGCTAAGTTTAGGGTTAAGACAGATGAAGACTGTTCTTTTCGTCATTCCCCATTTTTGGCCTTATTCCACATTTTCTGTATTGAAACGGAAATAAATATCGCTCTTTGCTATGGTACCTAAACTTTATAAATTTAAGCACAGTACTATATTGGTCTCATCAAGGTCTCATCAATTTACAGTTGAATTGGCTGCTAGATGTAACCATATGTTCTATGCTAACAGTTCCTTTTCTCACACTTCTTGCTTGTGAAACATTCTTCCAGCTCCATGTTTTCCATTTCATATTAGAAAAATAGATGATCTACAGTCTCTTATCAAAATAAATGTTGGAGATTTAATCCCGACATATTAAAATGTTATATTAGACACTAAAAGACAAAATTAGTCTTCTCTGTGACTTCAAAAAATTTTAAGAATTATCTACTAAATTAAGTTAGTCTGGCAAATGGCCACAAATATGACAGCAAATTTATTTGAGTAGTAACAGTTAGTGTAGTTATTTTCCTAACCATTGTTTGATAGTAATGTACTCATATAATTATAATTTCTAGGCTTATAATTGCTTGGCTCAAGGCTATGAATGTAGAGCACCCAATGATGGTCCCATTCACTATTGTCATAACAGTCTGTGTGACGTGCTTCTTAACCATTACTACATAGTAAGGTATGCTCAAAGTATAATGTTATAATTGTATCTAAATTTTATACATATGTGATTTTTGATAAGTTTTGGGGGTAGACGTTTTCCCCATTTGTGGCCTTTGCACTTTTTTTGTCATCCATTTTTTAAATTATTTTTAAACTGACATTACATTCTCAGTCATCAACTAATAATATATACTGTGTATCTGCAACACCCACCTACACAGGACCCCCCCCCCAACGAGGTTGGAGTCCCAAAAGGGCTAGTTTTCACAATACTTGTACGTGCATTTCTATCTTACTGCACACTCATGCACACTGCATATATATCACTTTTCAGCCAGCCACTCTTGAAAGAAATTGTGTTCAGCTAATCCTCATTAATATATAAGAAAAAAATCAAGTCATGATCAACCATGGAAGATAAGAATTATCACTTGCTCTTATGGAGTGTTAAAAGATGGCAGTTGTGCAGAGAATGATGTCACACATTTAAATGGTAAACATGGACCCAACAGCAAATCAAGTGATGCCTAGTGGTCAGCACTGTATGTAGTGGCTGGGGAGAGTTTTCTTTCAAGCAGTGGCAGGATGTATTTTCTTTTATTTCTTTCAATGGGAAGCTGTTGATTGGGACAAGGGCTATATAGTGAATGTAAATGTTAATTTTTATTGAAACACCACTAACCCAGAGACCTCAGAATAAGAAGCCCTGCCCTATGGTGACTTGCAAAAACTGACAGCTACAATCTCTGAGAGGAGAGTAAGATTCAGTGGACATTGCTAGAAGAAGCAAAAATAAAATAATTCACAAACTTTTACTCTGGGAACTTATACAAAGGAAATGATTTTATGGGAGACCAGCATATACCTTCATTGGCCAACTAATTGAAGATATAAAATATAATGTCTGGCCGTTAGCCAATCCTTGTTGCAGATACCTGCTCAGGCACATTTGTGTTTGTCCAACACCCATAGAGTGCAACTGTGTTTTATACTCTAACTATGCAGTATTGGGGAGAGCATATTATCTGGCATGATCAACAGTCTGAACAAGGCCAGTATATTCAAACCCTCAGTCACAATGACTTGTGATTTTGTGCTAGCACAACTGGCGATGGCTCACAAATAGTTTTGTTTACCCAATTTCACTCACAAGGCTTGGGCCAACTCATGGCATGGTTTTCAGGCATTTTTCACAGCTGTCACACACTGTGATTGCCTCTCCAGTCTTATAACATCAAGAACTCACTTTCCTGACAAATTGATCATGATAAGATTTGAACTCGGGTATCATGGTCAGAAAGCAAACATTCTAACCACTAGGCCATGTGCCAAATATTGATTGAAGATATAAGCTTATTAAAGGAGAAGCTTTTTTTTTTCCATTTTACAGCAAAATTTAAAATATTTCATCTGGTTTTCACTTCACAAAAGTAAATATCATGATAATGGTTTTTGATAAGAATCTATAAGAATCTTAAATAATGAACAGAAAATAACTTAAAACAAATAATATAAGAACTGCAATTCAGATTCAAATCATTGCCAAAAACCAAACATGACATTCAGAGTCATTAATAGATTTGGGGACAAATTTGAAAACCGTGATGATTTATTTATGTGTTATTTAATACAATTGGCAGATTCATTTTACAGAGCCTTGAAGTTTGAAACAGTTTTATTGTATGGTTGCCATGCATGGACATTAAGGAAGATATTAAAAAAAGAAACTTGATGGGGCTTATACCAAGATACTGAAAGTGGGGGGGGAAATGTCACTAGCAGCAAAATATGACTAATCAAATGCTCTATGGTGACTTGTCAAATCTGATAACTACAATTTCTCAGAGGAGAGTAAGATTCAGTGAACATTACTAGAGAAGCAAGAATGAAATCATTCACCAAGTTTTTCTCTGGCAACTTTCACAAGAGAAATGATCTTGTGCGAGACCAGCATGTACCTTCATTGGCCAATTGATTGAAGACTTAGTAAAGGAGAAACTGTGAACTACAATGAACTGCCATGGAGAGGACAGTTCATGCTGATCTGACTGTAGCCAATATGGTGATGATGATGGTGATATTGATGATATTTTTGCTTCAGGAAAATTTTTCAAATAATTAATCTGTTTTAAATTTAAAAATTATCACCAATGTTATTTTATTAAGCACTTACCTGTGTGCATCAAATTATATCCGAGAATTTTAAGGTTTCATGGGCTCAACTTTTCAAGTTTTTAAGTTTTCATGGTCTGTGTGTCAAGAGAAAGCTACCCATAAAAAAAAAAAACCTTTGTTCATATGGTTTTGAGAATTCAATAATAATTTAAATATTGTCTCTGAGAGCAATCAGTAAAGGCACCATTCACATTATGATTCAAAGAATGATAATTTATATTCAAGTCTTGATAGAAAGCTCATCTTTAGTGCTGACCCATATGAGACAGGCTCCCGAGAATATGGAATTGGGTTCAAGTTTTATTAGAAGTTATTTTCTTATTTTTTTTTTAATCTAGTTGAGACAGGCTCCCAAGAATAAAAAAATATGTTCAGATCTTACTAGAAATAATATCTTTATTTTCTGATCCATTAACAAAGAATAAGGAATAAGGTTCAACTCTTACTAGAAAGCATCTCTTTGTTTTCTTATCTATTTGGGACAATTACCCAAGTATAAGAAATTAAGTTCAAATCTTTCTAGAAACAATCTCTTTGATTTCTAATCTATTAGGAACTCTCACAGAACAATAAGGAAATAGGTTCAAATCTTTCTAAAAAAACAAATTTTTATTTGGAACCCTTACCCCAAAATAAGGAATTAGGTTATAATCTTTCTAAAAACATTTATTTTCTGATCTATTTGGAACATTGAACCAAGTATAAAGAATTAGATCCAATTCTTTCTGAAAAAAAAAACATTTCTTTTATTTTCTAATCTATTTGGGACACTCACCCAAAAATAGGGAATTAGGTTCAAGTCTTTGTAAAAACATTTATTTTCTGATTTATTTGTGACACTCACCCAAGGATAAGGAATTAGGTTCAAATCTTTTTAGAAAGCATTTCATTATTTTCTGATTTTTTTTAACATTTACCCAAGAATAAGGAATTAGGTTCAAGTTTTCCTAAAAATCACTTCTTTTATTTTTTGATTTATTTGTGACACTTGACCCATGAATAAGAAATTAGGTTCAAATCTTCCTAAAAATCATTTCTTTTATTTTCTAATCTATTTGGGACACTCACCTGAAAATTAGAAATCATATTCAGAGCTTCATAAAACCATTTCTTTATATTTATACCCCTATGAGACACTCACCCTAGGATTATGACTGCGGTTCAAATCTCGAAACCATTTCTTTATTTTCTGATCCCTGTCTGACAGACATGCACAAATAAGGAATTGTGCAGGATTTGTGTCCGTTATTGTTTTTCATTTGTGATATTTCTTCTTTAGGTACAAGGAATTGGACCTATTTTTAAACTGATGGTGACAATCCAGAACACCTCCCTGATTAATCCATCCATGAATTTGTTCATTATATTTGAATTTAACAATAAGCTTTATTCTGTGAGGAAACCACGTATTCCTGTAAGTTGTATTTTTATCCTTTTGCATACAAGTGCTTTTAACCACACTTATTAATTTTAGGTTCAAACATTTTAGATTTAAGCATAAATAATGTCTTTTAGATTTAGCTCTGAGCTATAATATTATTTAGCCTTTTCAGATGAAGCATTATCAATTAGTATAAAGTTTTGACAAGTATTTCTTTCATGTTGGTTTTGATACATTTTTGTTGTAACTTCCAGATGATCTTTACATAATAAAGAAAGATTAAAGAAAGATGATGGTGCATCAATCATTTGGAGAATATTTATATATCTAAAACAGAGAATGTCTATCAGTCTGTGTGATACCTTTTCACTAGAGATCCATCCCACCGATTTTGACCAAACTTGGCACATACTTTGTACAATGTAAGAGATAAGTTCTTAGCATAAAAAATCGATAATTTAAAAAAAATCAATAATCAATAAAACCGATCAAAAATTGATATATTCACCTTTTTTCCTCTGATTTTGTTCAAATTTGGTATGTAGGTTTCTTGCATCATGACAATATGCATTGTTGAACAATAACATTTTTATTTCTACCACACTGTGTTAGCAAAAAATGAAACATCAATTTCAGCACAAATTTTAAGCAATCTAATACAAACTTCACTCAATTGTAACCAACAATAAGTTGATTGTTTAACAATCATTTAACTTGATAATTGAGTCCACCCATATAGTGAAAACTTGTATAAATAGCGAAAATTGCAAATTTTACTGGTTTCTTTCTTATTTTTTGTTGATCTTTCAACCAATTTTCATCAGACTTAACAATTACTTTATAAATGTATGCTCTTTTACATTCCTGGTAACACACTGACAAAATGAATTTCAAAAACTCTAAAATAATTCTGGCCTGAAGTGGGTCTTGATGTTGCCTCTTTTATCCCTTCATGTCCTCGGCTAACTTTGATTGAATAAATACAGACTACTTCTGTTATATCAGTAACTGCATTAATTCAAAATGTTTTTTTAATGAAAGTACTTTAAAGTAATTGAAGAAGATAGACTCTGTTACATCTAAACATGATTCTGTTTTTGCTCCATTTTAATTGAACACTTTTTCTGATCAAGCAGCTGGGTATGCCTGTTAGTAAGTAATAAAAGCTATATAATTTGAACTGAATGACTACTGTTGATCAGCTTTTGTAGCCTAATTGGTAAGGCAGTTGACATGGGCTGTCTGCTAAGCATAAAATTCTTGAGTTTAAGTTTCACTGGAGGTTATTCTTTATTTCCAGTCTTTGATGCTGAGCAATGATGATAAAAAGCAACGGAAATTAAGATTAACAAAAAAAAAAAGAATGATTGGGTAGTGTAGCTGCTATTAGTGTTAAAAAGTAGAATTAGCAAAAAGCTGCGTTCAAATTTAGCCTAGACTATTGCGATCACTTTCACAGAAATACCCTTAGGGAAAGTAATGGATTTTTTATCACTTAAACATTATTTTTAGTGGATACTCGTATTTCAGTAGGCACTTAATTTATTTATTAAACTGTATATTTACTTATTTTCATCTCCTGGCCTGGATGTTCTAGAAATCTTATTAAAGAAAAATTTATCCTCTCTGGCAGGATTTGAACCTGCATCACTGTTTGTATTTAGACTAATATGGTTGGGAAAGTCATGAATTCTTCTCTCCCTGCATTTAACATATCTACAAAATGGAAGAGACAAGGTAATATAACAATTTTCATTAACTGAGAACTAATACTCTTGGGAAAGGGATGAATCCACCTTTCCCTGCATCTTATGTTCTTGCTAAGTGCTGTGTGCAAGGTAACATAGTAATTATCGGAAAGCCAATGACAAATTTGGATGAGGCTGCTTGTATATACTTAGCACTTAGAAAAGACATGAAACCACTTCTTCCTGCATTTCATATATGCACTAAATGGCAGTGGACAAAGTAGCATGACAGTTATGAGAAAACCAATTTCAAATTTGGCTGAGGCTGCTTGTATTTACATAGCACTTGGGAAAGGCATGAAACTACCTCTACTCTTTGTCCCAATAACTGATAACTTGATAAAAAATGCATGCCATGAAGTGAAGTCGGTGAGCCATGTTCAAATTCTTGTCTAGTCTGTTGCATTCATTTTCACACAAACGCCTGTTGGGAGAACACGAAACTATATCTTCTACCCGAGACTGAGCTCTCTAGGTGGCAAACATTTTGAGAGAAGGAAAGTTTGAATTCAAAATTGTCATGAAGATATTCACCAACCTCTTTCAGTAACCTCTACCTAGAGTGGCTCTTGGGCCTTATATTGAGTGAACAACAGTAAACAAAACAAAAAAAAACTCCCCCTATTCAGTAACCTTCTACCTTGAGTGGCTCTTGAGACTTGGACTGGCTGAACTAGTATTAAAGAAATAAAGATTGACAGAAGAAGGTGAGTGAGTGATCATTAGGACAAACCACTCTCCCCTAACTCCTGCCTAAGCAGTAATAACTATAAATTGTTTTATATGTTGTCAATCTTGACAGGAGATGTGCATTATTACTTCAGATAATTATGATAATAATATAGATGCCCTGTTGAGATTGACAATAGGTGTAACAGCTAAATTCATAAAACTAAAAAAAAATTAATTTTACTTGAAATAGGAAAAAGAAAAAGAATGTCCAGTTAAAAACTTTTCCTTTATTGAAATGTTTTTCTTTCAGATACCATTTTTGGTCCCAGGACTTAATTACGTCTTTGATACTTTAGTTGAGTGTAAAACAGACAAAGGAATCTCTGATGATATTAAGGTAAGATGCTATTTCTGAAGCAGCATTTTATATTAAAAGGATTCAACACTTAAAAATGTAGCTCTTCTACTCACTTGTCAATTTCCTGAGGAATTTTGCAGATCTCTTCTAGTGGAACATGGATAAAAATTAAATTATCTATCTTTTCTGAAATTATACTTGCTATATTTTATTCACACTCTACAGATATCATAGAATGATTGGCATCTGCTTACTTTCTTTCAATGGGTTTATTTTTTGTTGTGTCACTACCTATAAAAGCATTTAGCTGAATGTAAATTTTCACATGTATGATTCAATAACTTATAATATCAGGGGTAACATAAACTATAATAAAATAATTTTCAATTCATTCTCTAATAAAATAATTGTCAATTCTGTAATGAAATAAGTTTTAATGAATTTCATTTTGAAATTTTTTTTGACTAAAATAATCAATTTATTTCTAGACTAAAACTGTCTATCAATTCATCTCTTGACAAAAGTCATTTTCACTTTATTTCTACACTAAAATCAATTTATTTTTCTTACAAATAATTTTCTGTTCAGATCTATAGCAAAATAATTTCCCATTCATTTATATAATTAAATCATTTCAATTTATTGTTATACTAAAATAATTTTCAACTCATTCTGTAATAAAATAATTTCTAATGCATTTCTATGATAATTTTCAATACAATTTCAACACTAAAATAATTTTAAATTTACTTCTATATCAAACTGTCATGCATTTAATTGTTAAATGATTTCCAATCTCTTGTGTAATAAAATAATTTTCAGTTCATTTCTATACAAGATTAATTCTATGTGCCATGTCCTGAAGGGACATGAGCAAACATGGTTCTCCACAATTTCCTGTCCTTTGTAGCTCTTGGTAGGGTTTTTTTTTTTTTTTGCTATCTCTCCTAATCCTTGTTCTGCCAACTATTTACAAAAGCTCATTCTTCTATTGTTTTCTGTGTCCCTTTATGACATGCATGATCATGGCTCTCCACTATTTCCCGTCTTTAGTAGCCCTTAGTAAATGTATCTTTTTGCTATCTCTCCCAATCTCTGTTCTGCCAGCCATTTACATAAGCTCGTTAGATAGGTTATACACTATTTTCCTCTGTCCATCTTGCCTCCAGTATTTCCTGTGAGTATCAAATTTTCTAAACCCTCTTTCCTCATTATGTGCCCTAGAAATTTCAACTGTCTCTTCCTTATGTTAAGTATAAGTGTTCTTTATTTTCTATTTGCTCTGAAACTTTGTTGTTTCTCACATGTTCAGATCATGGTCTGTTACTTCAACTCTTTTCTTTATCTACAAGGAGATTATCCAGCATTCACTGCCATATAGGAGGACCAATATCGCATAATAGTTCAGTACTCTTTGCTTTGTTTTTAACCAATTTTTCTTGTTTCTTAAGACTTTAATTTTTGGAAGGCACCTTCTGATTTTGCTATTGCATTTTATGTTCTGTTAAAATACTTCTTAGATATTTAAATTTGTATACTTGCTTGATTATGGTACCTTCAATTTGTAATTCATATGTTGGGCTATTTATTTTGTTGTCTTTTTACAATTGATGCTTAGTCCTTTCTTCTTACTTTCCTTTGCTATCTTGTGTAGAAGTAAGTGCTCAAAAGACAGTGGACAATGCTAAATTTTCCCTGGAAAAAATGGAAATGATTCTCAGCTGAAGAAGAATTAAATATAAAATGTTACACACTTTCTGTTATGGTACCTAGACTTTATGAATTTAAGTGCAGTACTAGATTGGCAGTTAAATCTCATCATTTTATAGTTAAATTGGCTCGATGCAACCATAAGTTCTATGCTAACATTTTCTTCTATCACACTTCTCATTTCTGGAACTTACCATGCCTTTCAGCCAACTTTGATCTTCAAAAATTTAACTGCAATACCAATCTTTATTTTTGTGAAATACTCATTGTCACTTTGTAATGCTTGTTGTAGTAGAGACTTTGTAATCGCAGATACAACAATAGTATGCCATTGAACAATGCTGGTGTCAGACGCCTTCAAATAACACTTGCACTAATAGTACTTGCTTGATAATACTTGCTCAGATAGTAACCACCGAATAGAGAAGTAGTCTAGTGAATAGAGTAGAGAATAGTAGTCTGTATAGTAATAGAGGATAGACTAGAAATGCAGATCTGAATAGTAAGAGAAGATAAAATAGAAATAAAGATCTGAATAGTAAGAGAAGATAGACTAGAAATGCAGATCAATTAGACATCATGTTACCTTCCATATATACATTTCCTCTATGGTTACATGGTCTACTTAATTCAATAATGGGATCGCCTGTATTTGCTCACTGGCAATCTATGTTCAAACTCAAGTGTCACCAGCGACATTTTATTCTTGTATAACAATTATCTACTGTTTTCTTTTTTCCTCTTCTTTTATTGTTCTCACGCCTTAACTTTGTGTTAGTCACAGGGGTGTGTGTGTTTTCTTTATGTACTCCTAATTACTAATTGATAACTTGTTTCATTTGCTCCCTCCCACTACTCACCTGACTTAGTAAGTATGTGTGGTGCACAGTGTGGCACAGTTGTCAAGAGAGGCTGATGCCAGGGGATTATCCATTTTCATAAATCCAAAGTGACTAACTCAGGGTTAAAGTTTGTCTTTTTTTCTTATTCTTTCACACTCAGTAACCCCTTGTGGCTTTACTTTACTACCTTCCTTAAAGTGAAGTGATTTAAAAAAAAAAAAAAAAAAAAGAATTTTTGTTGGTTTTCAATGAAACCTGCATAAATAAAGAATAATCATTATATATCTTTGTATGTTTCAGGTCCTGGTTTTTCGAGAGGGTCAATTCTGTCCCCTGCTGACTGCTGTTATCAGTATGCCAGTGAGTGAAATATTTGTGAAGGAGTGAAGCTGCCAGTTCCTCATTACAATTTTTTCAATTCAACTAACGTACATGAAACTGTTAATTTATAAATAGCTGTCTCTGTGTATGTCTGTACAGATGCAAGAATCTGGGGAGAAGCTGGTGTTTTCTGTTTAAAAAAAACAAAAAACAAACCAGGCTCTTGTTTTGCACATTTCATTTTACAATTTTTGTGTAAAGAAAGACATTCCTTGCCATTCCTTTCTATGCGCAATCCTGTCGGTAATGATATACAGCAGCACGACTTGTTGAGTTTAAAGTATACAAATTAAAAGTAGCTCTGAATGACAAATTTGCAGCTATTCTTCTGTGGAGTATGTAAATAAAGCATTGGAATTATTAAGAAAATGAACTTTGTTCACTGATTAAATATGGTTGCCTTGCAAGAGCATTTTTCACTTTTGTTGTGTAAAACATGTTGAATGCATTGGATATTTTGATATTTCTAAAATATGAAGAAGTATTGAAAAGTTCTCTGACCAAATATCTCTTCATTCTTTTCGAAGGACTTTTTGTGTGGACTGAGAACTTTTCAGCACTTCTTCATATTTTAGAAATATCAAAATATCCAATGCTTTCAACATGTTTTACACAACAAAAATGAAAAATTCTCTTGCAAGGAAACCATATTTAATTAACAAACTTAAAAATAAAATCCTATTTTCTAATGAGGACAATATTCAGATCTGAATGTCATGGAAGTTATTTTTAGCATGTTGTACATGACAATGCCTGAACGTACATATTTGTCTTTTGAATTTCAGTAACAACAAAGATCAGGACATTAGTCTAAGTGTGTAAATAATGTAAATAAACTGATTTACACTATTTATATTCAGACTATTGTCCTCATCTTTGTTGATGTTATCATCATTATTAAGCCATTGTGTCTGTTGGCCTTCATCAGGTGTATGTCAATCTGAGTAACCTACAGGAAATTTTGAAATGAAAATAACCTTAGGATTTTGAAACTAACCCATTATTCAATCCACAGGTGTAGACAGTTCTAATTTCACTTTCTATGCTTAGAAGATATTTTATATTGGTTAATACTCATCAGTTTTATTCAACCTTGTATCACTTGTCTGTTAAAATAAAGTGGACAGTCAGCCTAATGAGCCTCATAACAAAACTTATTCAAATACTGATGAATAGAGCACAGAGTAGAATTACACTGGAAAAAAAACAGTGTGATTTCATTAAAAAACACTGGAACAAGGAATGCAATATTTATGTTCAGAATGATATCAGAAAGAGCAATATAATCACAAAGTGATGTACATGTATGTTTTATACATTATGCAAAAGCATTTGCAGAGGTACGTCAAACAACTATTAGAACTGCTAGGTAAGCTTCATTTATTTGAGAACGATATTAGACCAATACAAAAGTTATATTGGGAGTGAACCGCCTACATGAGGATAGAAAATAGTGAATGATGCCTTCCAAAAGGTAAGTAAAGTATTAAGAAACGGGAAAATTTCATTAGAAACAAAGAAAAGAGCACTGAACTATAATCCAGCATTCGAGATTGAGATGGTCCAGCATTCGCTGCCATATGGCAGCAAATGCTGGACTGTCTCATCACAGATGTTAAGAGACTTGATATGATAGAAATGTGGTTCTACAGAAGGATGCTGAGAATACCATGGACTGAACATATGAGCAATGATGAAGTTTTAGAGGAAATGGAAACAAAGGGCAGTTGAAATTTCTAGGGCACATTACAAGAGATGGCGGCTTGGATAATTTTGAAAAACACAAGCTATATAGGAAGGAAAGAGGAATAGAGAAAACCAGCACATAACCTACCTAATGAGCTTGTGTAAATGGCTGGCAGAACAAGGACATGGCACATAGAAGAAGAAGCCCAAATCTAAAACATAGATCACTCAGTAAGGAACAATCTCTCTACTCGGTTGTAATAGTCAACCCAATTAGCTAGTTACCTATTACCCTATGCCAATGTACCCAAGAACGAGCTTTTTTTAAATAATTGATAGACCAGGGATTAGGAGATATAGCAAAAATACAAACTTGACTAAGGAATAACAAAGGAGAGAAAGTTGTGGAGAGCCATGATCACCCATGTCCTGAAGAGACACGTCACATAGAAGAAGAATGAGCTTGTGTAAATGGTTGGCAGAACAGGAATTAGGAGAAATAGCAAAGATATAAATTTTACTAAGAGCTACAAAGTAGAGAAAGTTGTGGAGAGCCATGATCACCTACGTCCTGAAGAGAAATGTTACATAGAAGATGAAGAATGCGCTTATGTAAATGGCTGGCTGAACTGTAATTAAGAGAGGACAGAGACAAATTTTTACTAAGAACTACAAAGGAGAGAAGGTTGTGGAGAGCCATGATCGCCTACATGATAAAGGGACATGTCACAAAGGTGAAGAATCTTGTATAACAATTTCTATGGTAATTCTAATAAAAACTTAGATGGCATTATCCAAGAGCTCAAATAACCAAAATAGCAGTGAATGCCTGAATAAATTTAATTTTATTTCGCAAAATAAAGCTTAAGTTATCTTCTACAGCAATTTCTGTGAGAACTCTAAATTAAAACATTGCATTATTGAACGACTCAAATAAAGTAGCAGTTAATGTCTGAACGCATTAAATTTTATCTACTAAAATAAAGTAGTAATCTTAAATTTATCTTGAGGACACGCATTAATGTCATTCTTTATAGTTTGATAAATTTAATGTTTTTCCTCACCAAAAAATAAAGCATACGCAATCTTAGAGAGCAGTTTTCGTTGATAACAAAATATAGATTGTATTATGTTATGGTTTAAAGATGGCAGTAAATGCAAGGACTCAAATAACTAAGGTTAAATGTAATCTCTGAATAAATTTAATTTTATCTAAAATAAAGGACTTACAGCCATATCATGTTGAAACATTGGTTCCCATACAATCACCAGAGTTAAGCAACATCGAGCCTAGCCAGTACCTAGATGAGTGATTGCTTCAGAATTCTAGGGGCTGTATTCTTGGATGTGCAGGTGGTATAATGGATATCGGCTCGGAATTGTTAATCGTAGAGCCAAGTTCCAATTCCAGTTTGGTTCGTTATTTACTTGTGTGCAATTACCCTTGGGGATGGTATAAATCCACCTCTTCTCCCTCCAACTATGGGTTAATTAGTTCAGAATTATATCATTAAATCCTTATTATCTCAAAAAGAAAATTGTACAATCTACAAATATTTTCTGGCTTTAAATAACCTTCAATGTGTTGATTAGCCAGAGAAAATGAATGAATCAACCTATCCTAAAATAAAGTACGAGTCTAAATGACAGTTTTTGATGGTAACACTAACAAAGGTATCTGTCTATATTTCTGAGATGAGGCATTATGTACACTATTTACATTATTTGGACTATTGCCCTCATCTTTGTCGCCACAAGGACACATGGCACGGTGGATAAAGGCATTGGTTAGATCTAGTGACAGGATCCAAAGAGTGTGAGTTCAATAACTGGTTAAGGTGGTGGAGAACTTGGAGAGGGGAATTAACAGGAGATAGCTGAAAACTGACATCCATTAGGCATGGCACGTGGAACTAAAACAGTCTACCCCATTGAGTGAAATAAAGAGTTCAGTTTGACATTCCAACCACCTGAAGAAGGCCGGAGCGTACAATGACCGAAACATTGAGAAATATGGTGACAAAAATGAGGACAACAGTCCAAATAATGTAAATAGTGTACTAACAAAGGTACCTATGACATTAACCAAGGTTTCAAATATCCAAGGCAGCATGATTTTTTTTAATGTTCACTAAATACCAGGCCCAAGTGCCACTCAAGGTAGAGAGTCATTGAGTAAGATTGTTGTAGGGGGAGGGGGAAATAAAAAAAGTACATATCATGAGGATGTGTAGGATATATTTCAGTTGACTCTGGACTTAAAGAAACTAAATTTGTAGCTGTTAGCAAAGCATTCTCTCGGGAGTCTGTTTCACAAAATAACAGTTCTGGGGGAAGAAGTAGAACTTGCTCCATACAAAAGTAACACGAAAGGAATGAGGATAGTTTTCCCCCATGAACATGGTATGGTGGGGTGTCGTAGCTGTGAAGTCTGAACTGAGGAATGTGGCTGTGAAAAGAGAGCGATCGTTGAGTGAAGGTGGCCGAATGTCCCCTTCTTTGGCACGGCTACCAAACACATCCGAACTCAATGGTTGGGAGGTGAAAAGAGAGCGATCATCTCCTTTCCGGAAATAGAGTCATAAAATTGACACGTGACCGGAAACCCTTTTTGGTTTCCTTTTTTTTCATTTGCATTATGGGAATATGAAATTCTCAACATCCATAATAGTGATAGATTAGTAAAAAAAAAAAAAAAAACTAGATAAGGGTAGCAGAGTAGAGAATAATTCATCACCCACCAGGCTGCGTAAGCACTTCTGAACTCTGTCGATGTCGGAGAGTGAGGATTGAGCAGCGCCAGCCCATATATGGCAGTAATATTCCATTCTTGGCCTTGTTTGACTTTTGTAAAGATAAGGCATGGCAGTGGGAGTTAGGTATTTTCTAAAGCAATGATTTTTCAGCCGGTGTGCAAGAGGATCGTAGATGTGCCACGAAATGTTTTAAAGATCAGTAAATAAATGAATTTCGAAAGAAGTCCAAAGTACAATAAATGTACATATTATAGTAATATATTTTTAATAATCCCTTTCACATTCCCCACTGCCATGTCTTTGTCCTTGAACCTGTGTGTGAATAGGTTGTTTTTCTTATACACGTCGACGGTCACCATCTTGTGTGGAATGTTGTAATGTAAGCAAAAAGTCTGTTGAGATTAGGCGGGAAACCTAACCGATTGCTCTATGAGAAAAGAGACAGGAGGTTCATTGGAAACCACAACTTGAGGAACAAACTGCCCGTGTCTTGCTTCAGTCAGTTATGTGCCATGTGTGATACATGACTGACGAGGCAGATTTTTTCCAGCAGTAGGTTGCCAT